GGAACCCCTGGGCTTGCCTGTCCTCCCGCTTCCTGTGTGTGCTGTTTGCGTGAGCGCACCCGTAAGACCACACCCTCCGAGCCTGAGTTGCTTCCAAACCTCCACTGGGTTTCTGAGGCCCACTCTTCTCCCTCAGAGCCACTGGTGGATTAGAACTGCTGACCTTCCTGTTGGCAGCCCAGCTCACTATGTGTTGTTCCACCAAGACTTCTTTGGTCCTGTACACAAGAACCTGCCCGCTTCTTTGTGCACTCCTCTCTGAGTTCCCAGGGCCTCTCTAGTTAAAGGGTTTTCTCTGGTCCTGATGCTGCATTCTCCTTCACGTGGTCTGGCTTCCTGGGTGACACGCTCAGCGGCAGATGGGAGAGCAGCAGACAAAGGATATCACCCTGATGAGAACGTTTCCTGACCTTAAGTCTCACGTGCCCTGCTCTGCTAGAGCGTCTGCTCTTGGTGATGGCAAGGCGAGGTGGAGGCTGAGCTTTCTTATGGGACCCACACTCCCAAGGGCCGGGACCTCTCTGGTTTCGTGCTGGCAGCAGGAGCGCAGTGAAGATGTTCTGGAATTCTCGTACTTGGCGACGCAGTCCGTCATCTGTGTTCAGAGGTGGTGGTCGGTGCTGTTAGGCTGGCCCCATCCTGCAGCCATCAGGGCCGACCATGGTGCTCCAGCACCATCCCCCGGCGAGCCCTGGGGCACAGGCCCTGGGTCAGGCCGTCCCGCTGAGAGCTCCTCTTTCTCCTTGACCCCTGTCTTTTCCAGTGATGTCCTTCTCCCAGGACTGGTCCCTCCTGAAAACATGTCCCGAGGACGTGAGACAGAGTCTTTCTGTCTTTCTGTCTTTCTGTCTGAGGAATGCTCTGGCCGTATTTCTTCTAAGGCTGATGTGTTTGTTCCCTGGCGGTCCGCGGTGCCGTCGGTCTTCTTCACCAACACCGTATTTCAAAGGCATCGGTCATTCTTGGATCTTCTCTGATGTGTATCGAGCCTGGCCCTGTTTCTGACATCTGTCCTGAGCACAGCCAGGGAAGGAGATGTGAGAAGGGGGGGCTGGTGCTTACTGAGACTTGGGAGTCAGCAGAGTGCTGGGCTGGAGCCCGCCCATCCAGGCTCGCAAGCGCTTCCGACCGGGTTTTCAGGAATTCTGTGAGCTGAGCATGAGTAACAGTGAAATGATGTAAACTCACAGCGATCGTGAAAGCGAGGCCGTGAAATAGTCTGAATGTGTTGTCCGGAGGGGTGGGGGCAGTCCCGGGGAAAACCCTCATCCTTGGTAAAGGACGGTCCCGTGAAGGAGGGACCTGAGAGAATCCAGGGTGAGGGGCCGCTTCCTGGATGAGCTTCGAGTTTGGGGACCCCTGTCAGTGGATGTGAGCCGGGCGCTACCGCTGGAATGGCCATAGCCAGGCTGGGGACAGGCAAGGTCAGTCTCTCTTGATGATGGGGCCAGGTTCTCAGGTGCAGTCTGACTTCTCCCGATGGATGATGGGAAAGCATGAATGATGGCAACAGCTTGCTGGAGTGAGGGGCATTTGGGGTGTCACTGACAACTTGGGTGCTGTTGCCACTTTGTCCTCCCTGGAGCCTCAGAACTTGTCCTCACAGGCTCTGGCCATCCAGGGATGGTGCTCCGGGGTCCAGGCACCACCCCAGGACAGACTTGGCGGGAGCTAGCTTTCTGCTGGGAACTGCTCTGAGGGCGGAAGGGGGCCCTCACATCTTGCTCAATCCTGGGATTCCACAGGCATCTTGTTTAGGAATGAGGGCTGCTTCCTGTCAGAGTGGACACTGTTCATCGGGGGCCGGGGGAGAGTCACGGGAAAGACAGGGTAAGGGTCCAGCCGGGAGAGAGGTGGCCGCCGTGAGGGGGTGCCCACTGTGAGGGGGTGCCCGCCATGAGGGGGTGCCCGCCGTGAGGGCGTGCCCGGGGGCCTTGGCCCGGTGCCTGAGCCAGGAGAGGGGTGCACACTGTGTGGGGGTGCCCGCCGTGAGGGGGTGCCCACCGTGAGGGTGTGGAGAGTCAGGGGAATGACAGAGTGAGGGCCCAGCAGGTGGAGGGGAGCCAGCCGGGAGAGGGGTGCCCGCCATGAGGGGGTGCCCACCGTGTGGGGGTGCCCACCATGAGGGGTGCCCAGGGGACTTGGCCTTGTGCCTGAGCAAGGAGAGGGGTGCCCTCCATGAGGGGTGCCCACTGTGTGGGGGTGCCCTCCAGAGGGGGTGCCCACTGTGAGGGGTGCCCGGGGGCCTTGGCCTGGTGCCTGAGCCAGGAGAGGGGTGCACACTGTGTGGGGGTGCCCACCGTGAGGGGGTGCCCACCGTGAGGGGTGCCCAGGGGACTTGGCCTGGTGCCCGAGCCAGGAACCACTTCTTTTCCCTCTGGGCTGGAGGGGAAGTGAGTGCTTTGTGGTCTCACAGCCCAGTGTTCTCGAGACACTGCGTCCTTTGTGCCCAGGGCGGCAGTGGGGGTGCAGTGCTCACAGGCCGGCCGCCTCCCGGGCTGGGACTCCTTGTCTGAGTGGCCTGCTCTGTGGTGCACGTGACCCGTCTGTGCACTGGCGAGGGGCATCTAAAGTAGTTGCGGCCGAGGACCCTTCCACACGCGTCCACTTACAGGTGCAGGTCCAGGGGTGGGGTGGGGTGGGTGCGGGAGGGCACTGGGCTCCAGCTGAGCAGATGCCCAGCATCCCGACACTAGGGAGTCCCCTCTGGGTCCCTCTGTAAAAGGGCTGTGGTGGTCCCTAGGGGGTCAGTTGGTTTATGGGTCTCTCCCTCGTCCTGCTCATATCCAGGGGTGAGATGGCGTGGGGCCCGAGGAAGGTCCAGAGGAGGGAGGGGTCCATCTGAGGACCAGGCTGATCATTTGCCAGATGTGGGAGCCAGTTTTCTGAGAGGACCGTAGGCTGTGACCTTGGCTGGGCAGGGACAGAAGGGAGGCCTGCCTTAGAAGAGGGTGACAGATGCCCCTGGAGCACTGTGTGGGTAGTTTCTGGAAACGGTGGGTGGCGGTGCAGTGGGTGTGCCTGGAGGTGTGTGAGGAGGGGAAGGGGCTGTTGGAGGAATTGAGGTCAATGGAGTGGCCAGATCTGCAGGTGTCTGGGGCCTCAGGCTCAGGAGTTGGGGCTCTCTCCTGGGTCATGGGTTGAGGGGCTTGGCCTGGGAGGGCTGGCAGGTGAAGGGAGGATGGGCAGCAGGAAATAGGGACGGGGTGGATCTGGGCAGGCAGACACCCCTGGAGCCCCCACAGAAGTAGGAAGGACCGTCTCCTACCTGTGTTTGAGACCACCCTGCTTTACACCCAGGATAGGGTCCCTTGGTCTCGGCTTCTGAGGCCTCTGAGGGCCCTGTGGGAGAGGGGTTCACCAGCCTGGGCCTGGAGGGGCACAGCTGAGGTGCGTCCAGGTGAAGGAGGTGGTGTGACACTGCTCTGCAGAAGCGTAGATGATTGTCGCTCATCTGAGGTGAGGTGGGCAGCAGGCTCCTAGCCCCCTGGTTGGACCAGACACCGAGTCTGAATGCCCTTGGAGCCTCACCCTTTCCCAGGACCCATGTGGGCAGCAGGACAAGAGGCAGGCAGAGTGGGCCTGGCGGCTGCAGGCATAACAAACCCCCTCTGCATGCTGATGGCCGGGCAGCGGGCCCAGCCTTTGTGCCCATGGGCCCCTCCTCTGCTGGCCGGCTCTGAGGCCAGAGGCTGCCACAGCCCAGGGAAAGGACCCTGGGAAGCAAGGACTCTAACTCAGAGCCTGGCCTAGCACAGCTCTGGGCCTTTCTCAGGGTGATGGGGCCTTACTTCCCTTGGGGGTGGGGGGGAGCTGGATGCCGCTATCTTGGACCAGGACCCTGAATGGGCTGTTCTGACCACCCAGCCCCCTTGGATTATGAGAACCTGTGGTCTCATGTAGACGAAGCAAGCAGGGTGAACATCTTCCCAAGCCTGCTTATTATTTGTTTAATTAAAAAATCAATTGGAATGTATTAAGGGAAGTTGTCGTTGTTGTTGTTAAGTGCCGTGGAACAGCAGGCGACTCATAGCGACCCTATGAAGGAGAGTCTTCAACGCTTGGGTCTCTCATTCTCTCTCCAGGTTCATAGGGTTTCTGGAGGCAAGCTGTTAATGGAAGTGGATGCCGCTCCTCCTTCCACGCTTGTTTAATCAGGGAGCTCCACCCCACTCTCTGTCTGCATTGGGTAACCAACCATTAACACATTTGGCACATCAGTGTCACAGTGTTCAGCCTCACAGAAGCCACAAGTTACTGCTGTACGGCAAGTGGACACCAGGGCTATACAACCTAGAGAAATGTCTGAGCAAAAACAATGAAACAAAACATTGTTCATTTCCTTTTATATTTTTCCTTCAATTTTATTTATTGAGCATACACTCTAATTCAGAATTTTCTACGTTGCAATTTAGTAACATTGACCTCAGTCAGAACCAACTCATAGCTGACCCTCCAGTGGGTTTTCAGAGGGTGTAAGTCTCGTGGGAGGAGATGGCCCGTCTTTCTCCCTCAGAGCATCTGTTGGATTCAATCTGTTAGCCTTTGGATTGGCAGCACAATTCCATACCCACTAGACCACGAGAGTTCCCTAAAGGAGATGAAAGGGAAAGAATATTCTAAAACCAGTTAGTCTGTTGTGATGCCCTGTATCACCCTGACTTCCCCACTGATGGCTATATTAGTTTAACTGGCTCCGTACTTTCTGTTTGTTTCAAGTTTCTTGGGATTGAAGATGGGTAGTGAGACCTGGCCTGTGTCCACTTGTAGGATTTGAGTGCAGCTGATGGTGTCTTAGGGTTGGGATGTGGGGTAGGCAGCTGCACCCTGGAGGTCCTTGTGTTGCTCTCTCTGGCCTGTAAGGACCTGAAGCCTTATGGAGCCTTGGTGGTATAGTGTATGCCTGGTATCTGAACGGTCAGTGATTCGAATCCACCAGCAGCCTTGAAGGATCGACAGTCCCTTCTGATAAGGATTTGCTTCCTCAGAAACCTGACAGAGGGCTCTCTGGGCGGAACCTACTTCACGGGAGTGGATGGTCAGTTTTTAGGAGCCTGGTGGCATGACGAGCTAAATGTCGGGTTGCTAACCCAAAGGTTAGCAGTTCAGATCCACAGGCAGTGTGACAGAAAAAGGTGGGCAGTCTCCTCCAGCAAGCCTGGGAAACCCAGCAGAGGGTCACCAGGGGTTGACGTCCATTTGCTGCCAGTGGGTCTTCAGTCTTTAGTCCAAATGCTTGTGCAGTTATTGGCCTCAGATTGTTCTCTAAGGGGACTCATTCCTTTACTATAATGCATTTATTTAAAATAAGAGCAACAGTGTCAGTCTGGAGACTAAGGTGCATCTGAACCAGGCCATAGTCTTTGCAGTTACGTGCTATGCGTCAGAGAGCTGGACAGTGACTAGGGAGGATAGAAGGAGAATTGATGCCTTTGAACTATAGTGCTGAAGAAGAGTATTGAATATACCATGGACTGCTAGGAGAACAAGAGAGGGTGAGGCCAGGCTGCTCCTTGGAGGTAAGTACTCTGAACCTTTGTCTGACATACTTTGGACATGTTTCCAGGAGGGACCAATCCTTGGAGAGGGATGTCATGGGGCGGAGGGACAGCGCAGGAGAGGAAGACCCGGGATGAGATGGCTTGATTCAGTGACTGGAGTAATGGGGGCAGGTGTGTCAGAGACAGGTTGGCTCAGGGTAGAGCAGGGGGTTGGTATGAGTTGCAGGCGACCTGATGGCACATAACAACACAATAGGAAAAGCTTACAGAACTGAGAGGTTGTAAAGGAGAGGCTCGCTAACCACTTGAGCGGTCATCCAGTCAGCCTGTGTGTCCTCACTCACAGAACTCACGCACAGTGGGGTCTGGTCTCCGTGACCACAGGGTGCCCATCGGCTGACTCTGCAAGTTCATCGCCAGGCCTTTCCTCCTAGTTTCTCTTGTTCTGGAAACCCTGTGACCCCTGTTGTGCGTCATAGCACAAGGAGGCCTCTGTGGACAGAGAGGTGGTGGGGCATTAGCCGGGAGTGTCCAGGTCTCCGTTGTGGAAAGGTGGGCCATACGATGACCACTGCCTCCTTACTCGTAACTGACACAGCGGCCTTTGAGCTGACGCCAGCCAGCAGCGAGCCCACGTGTCAGGGGGGCCGTGCTCCACCTGGGTCCTCATGTGTGTCAGAGGCAGTTCAGCTTTGCTGGGTCCTTCCGTGTGTGTGTGCGCGTGCTCACAGCTGGGCTCTGCTGGGTCCTCCCACGTGTCAGAG